ACACAAGGCTTAAGATATTGCCTTACGCTTCATTCGGTCTAAACGAGGTAACTATTATTGTTGAACCAATCTGTATTACAAGTTGTACTGTATTCTCATTCTGTACTTTCGACGATCTCATTGTAGTTTTTACTGAGGAAGCGACCCGAAGGAGGGTAGAAACATTTATGCTATCAAAGAGAAATTTTGATTCTATATCGCGAGAACCGAGTTCCGTTCATTTTGTGGCTCGCATTGGCATTCCCTCCTTTCTACCTATTTTCTTTTTGCCTTCACAACACTTTGGAATAAAATTGTATGTCTCGTCACTTCATAGAAACTTTATAGAAGGTACCCTAAGGCATTTCTCGCTAGCAACGAGACATGAGTGCTGTCAACGATTAAAAAAAAATTGTGCTGTCTTCTTACCCAAATATGACTGCATTCCATATCATAATGTTATTGTCTGTCGGAGCACCTGACACTCCGGTTGGAGGATCCTCCTGTAATCTTTGGAGAAACAATTTTTAGAGCCTTATCTCGCCAAGGGCATGTAAGATAGTACACGAAGCTCCGTTTCTGGTATATGGAAGCGTGTTAAAAACGACGTCGACGTCTTTTCGCGCGAGTCATACTTATATGCCAAATGTATAGACGGTCCTCCACTATAAGATAGATTTCCAATGTGAGACAGCAGGTTCTCAATACCCAAATTCAATCGCAAATCTAAGAGTGAATTTTTCACCAAGCAGACTCGCCCCGGGGGGGACACCAAATTCACGGTGGAGTCGACAGGTGACGCAACATTAATTTGACACAAAGGCCCGCTATCTCATAACGAGGGACTTTCCGCCACGTGTTAACATCGAGTCCACGTACACCGGCTGTCACGAGACCGGTTGCAAGGTCCGACGGATCACGCGCGAGGCGGATGACGAAATTGCTCCCGACGTACTGACTATCGTAATTCGCGGTCGCCGAGCTCCGAACCTTCGCAGGAAAATCACGTGAATAAAAAAAAAGAACAAAAAGAAACATCTCGTCCGATTGCATAGATAAAAAAGAACGAGCGAGTACGAGTCGCTATTGAAGTGAGATCATCGCGATGATTCGCCAGATCGTTCTAGAAACGTGTCGGGGCCCGCGGCGGTGCGTGGTCCATCGACAGGATGAGGAACGGTTTGTTTTATTGGGCCAGAAAGCGGGGCGAGGGACGGGAGGGGGGCGGGGAGGGGAGGTTGTCGGCAGCGGGCGAATGCGTGAGGGGACGTGTCGCGGGAAAGACATCTCTAATAATAACCGCGCGCGGCTGACGCGGCTCGCGCGAGAACTCCCGTGTGCGCGCGCGAGACGCTCGGCTCCGAGCGGAGTCGGGGCGAAACGGGCGCACCAGGAGCCGCTGCACTTGCAATGGCGTCACGCCGCGAGCGCGATCGAACGGACGGAGGGACGGACGGACGGCACGTTAATACCGTCGTACGCCAAGTACCTCTTGAAGTCCCTCATCAATCTCCTCCTCGCGGGGGTGGACATCCCTTACGAACGAGCTCCCCGTTAGCTTCTGCGAACGATGATGGCCGATTGCGCTCTTTCTCTCTTCCTCTGCGATAGGTGTAGGTGCGCGCGTGCGAGCGACAGCGACGACGACGACGACGGCGGTGACGATGGCTGGAGCGACAGCGGCGACGACAGCGAGGGCGGCGAGGACGACGGTGGTGACGACGGCGACGATGGCGACGACGACCTCCTTCCTCTTCCGCACCTTGCGCGCGTTGTCTATCAGCGCGACAGGCCCAACGGGAGAAATCACGGCACCCACACGCGCGTCCGTCTGTACGCGTACCAGATTTACGTAGCACGCACTTGTACTATCTCTTTCTTTTTCTCACGCGCGGACGAGACGAGGGTTATTTCCTACGAGACCCCGGATTTGCGACGTTTGCGAGCGAGCGAGCGAGCGAGAATGAGAACGAGCCAGGGAGGAGGAGGTAGTGACCGAGGTAGAGGGAGAAGGCTCGAGAGCGAGACGGAGAGAGAAAGAAAGAGAGAGAGAGAGAGCGAGAGGCCGTTGTTTGTCTCGTCCTTTGCCTTTTGTTATGTCGCGCCCGTGAAGGCCGCCCTCTTTTTTTCCCCGCGATACCGTTATAAGGACGCACACGAATTCGACCCCACTCTGGCGACTACGACGACGGCGACGACGACGATGACGACGACGACGATCGCTCGTCAGCTGGACAGTGGGGATGCGAAACTGGCTACCTCGAACCGTGCAACGAATGACGTCACCGAGGCACCGCGGAGCGAGGCCGCAGCCAATCAGTCTGCCGTTTTTCCGGAAATAATAGATACGCGACGAGCAATCCATTGGTTCCTACTTTCACGGAAATCTGTTCGTGAACGTCCGCTGAAAGGTCAATCTGAGGTTTGTTCGTGAATCTTTTTGTCCAGCGTCAACTCGTGAAAAAGTTTATTTGACCAATATCACTAGACAAAAATTTGGATACGTTTCAACACCAGGAGCTCGATTCTTGAATCTCTTCGAAGGAGAAACGTATACGAAGATTCTGCTCTTAAGCCCGCTGCAGACGATGCTATTTTTCCTGCTGGATTGCTTGCGATTTAGTAAATTACTATCATTGCACCACTCAGCATTCAGGATTCCTAGTAATTTACTAAATTGCAAGCAATCCAGCAGGAAAAATAGCATCGTCTGCAGCGGGCTTTACAGAAAAGTTGCAAGTTGATTGGTTATTCGCATGGCTTTTAACCAATCGACTTTCAACTTTTCTGTCGGAGCAGAATTTTCGTATACAGTGGAACGTCCCACATCTGCGCTTCCCACATCTGCGCGCGTCCCATATCTTCGCTAGTTTCCGTCCCACATCTTCGCGTTTTCAATGGTTAGCTCCCCCACCACCGCCGTTTTCTGACGCAGATGTTGGGTCACTTCCGGTCCCGACCGGCGCAGATGTGGGACGTTTTACTGTACGTTTCTTCTTCGAATGAATTCAAGAATCGGGCCCCAGCTATCTCGTTCTAAAGTTTGTACGTGTTTTCACGCGGGTGAGGTAGGAAACGCGCAGTCTATTCTTGCTATGTCTATGATTACATGTTCCATACAACATCTTTAAATAAATTTAAGATGGTCTTGAACGTAAGATCTGACTATAATACCGGTCATAGAGGGTCTACTGGAAATACATAATACATGATCGTTTGAAGGGCGCAATTAGAGAAAAGATTTTTCATCCCTATAGCAACACACACGCATACAATTTAAATTATAAAATCGATCTAACAATGGCCTAGTTTACATCGTGCATTTGATACGCGTATCAAATAGTGTATATGAACTGATCAGCCAATGACTAATGCCCGATTTCTTCACATCCAGTTATGTTACGATTAAAGTTAAACGGGAGATAACTACCAGATCCATGCACGTGATTGGCCAAAACTTGAGATTAACCTCCGGATAATTTTATCGGGAAGTGAAAAAATCGGCCATAAACCAATTAACTAGTTATTTACTATTTCTTACTATTTAATACGCGTATCAAGTGCACGATGTAAACTAGGCCAATAAGGCTGGGTCTACATAGGATGTCGTAAGTCGTGTCGGAAGAAATTGACCAATCACAGTTCATTATTCTTCGATCGTAAGGAGAAGAATAGATTGTGATTGGTCAATTTCTTCCGACACGACTTACTACATTCTATGTAGACCCAGCCTAAGAATGAGCACAAGGGGAGCGATCGCGTGCACCGATCGAATTCGAATTCGAGAAGGAATATGCCATCCGATACCACTCTTCGTACATGATCAATCTATGGTCTGAGGGAAACTATCCTATAATAAATAAGCATGAACCATGAAACCTGTAGAGTAGAGACGTATGAGAAGTCGACCGATCGAATTCGATCGTGCACGCGATCGCTCCCAAGATCCCGTTTCAAGAGGGTCTTTCGAACAATTTATTTATTGGCCGCGTTCAGCAGACACAACTGTTGAGTGAGCGCTCGGTATGATTGGTTAATACTTTTAGATCCAGCTAATCATATTAAGAAATCATTGAGCGCTCACTCAACAGTTGTGTTGAACGTGGCCATTATTGCGTTTAATGGCTCCTGACTCCAGAGGGAGCCAACACGGCCAGGTCTTTCGAACAAAGCACGCTATACTCGAGTCCGTAAAGCCCAATGTCCACGATCCAAGAACTGTGTCAAAGTTCTAGTTTCGAGAAATGCGCAGCCAATCAACATGCAGCTTGTATGGAATAGCTGCAAGCTGATTGGCTACGCATTTCTCGAAACTAGAACTTGGACACAGTTCTTGGATCGTGGACATTGGCCTTAATCGCCTATAAGCAAACTATATTGAAATACATTATGCATATACACGTTTAAACGTAAAAAATTTGGCAGGAAGCGTCAGAATCGTGTCTTTTTCTTTTTTCCCCTCGCGTTTGTCCAGGAGACTCCGCCTATTCCTCTAGTATCCTCGTCGCACTCGATTCGCTGGAGAGTTCCATGCCAATCGCCGCGCGTGAGCGCGCGCGCGCACACCCTCCAGCGGCAGTGCGGTGATGCGTGCGTCGCGGTGCGGTCGTAGACAAGCATACGCTCGGTGCGTACATGCACGTACATTATATATACACACGCTTAGCCGCGACACGGCTTCGCTTTTCGCATCGCCACCGCGACGGTGTCCCGTCTTATCTGGCCTCCGCGTCGCGTAGCGTGGTGTAACGTCGCGCCGTACATATGCCAGGGAACGGTGGCGGTGCGCGTATAAGCGCGTCGCCGGCGGCGCGCGCGGTCGCGAAGCCGCCGCCGGCGCACTACCTGCACGAGCTGCCGGCCCAGGACGAGGAGCGGCTGGAGCGGCTCTTCCAGCGCCTCGACCTCGACGGCAACGGGCGCATCGACGTGCTCGACCTGTCGCGGGCGCTCAAAGAGGTCGGCGTGCACACTCAATACGCTCAGGTATTTATTATACGAATGCCACGAGTCATTCGCACTGGCGATACCGAGCAAATTGAGATCCTCGCCTCTCTCGAGCGGCGCACTGTCGCATCTACACTCGGCACCCCGCGCCCCCCCAGCTGTAGCTGGTAGCTTCTGCACTTGGTCGTACCGAGGATGCCTGTTTTGCGAGTATCTATGTCCCTTTCGAGGGCGGCGTTGGCTCTTGCTCAACGAGGTCTAGTGTCTTCTCGATCGAGTGTTCCGGAGACGAGGATCCGAATCTTTTAGCAAATTGAGTTACGTTCTTTGCACGTAGAATGGGGTAAGTATGCGTCGAGGGAAGAAAGGGACAAAGATCGAAGCCACGGATAAAATGAATGGACTTGAACTCGTTGGATTGGTATTGGAGAAAAAGGAGGTACGGATGAAAGTATCTCCAGTTAGATGGCATTTTCATGCATTTATAAAACGAGCGAAACGTGTAGGAGAAATGAGAGAGAAGAATGAAGGCATTACTGGCAAAGTGTAGAAGGTACAGTTAAAACGAACAGATTTAAAGGTCTGTTTACAGGTATTCGCGTACGATAAACGTCCGACTGAGCAGTTTTGGCACGTAATGTTTAAAATTCGCTTATACTTTCGGTCGGTTTGCGCAATTTTATTTTTCCAAATTGAATTTCCAAGTTCTCGGACTTTTACACTGTGCAACTTAGCCAATTATATTCTGATGCTTCGTCAATTCTACCAAGTTCTGGATCTCAAAAATTAAGACCCTTTTCACATTGAAATTATAAAAACTGTGACCCTCAGAATTTTCGTTAGTCTCGATTTCTGGAAATAGCTGAAGAGAATTATTGGTTTCCAATCTCGTTTATATATTTATATATCTTTTACCTGCAGAGGAAAGTCCTCTATTATAAGATAGATTTCTAATATGAGATAGCAGGTCTTCAACATCCAAATTCAGTTACGAACCTTTTTTCGCAACGATTACGCAATTTAACAATCAATTTTCCACCAAACAGATTTCACTCCAAGGGTGATAAATTCATGATGGAACCAACAGATGATGCATGTTAATTCAGGAGAAACTCGGCTATCTCATTTTAGGAGCCTACTTGATAATAGGGGACCTTTTTTTATTAACAATAATTATATAAATCTTTAAACGTTCCTCGGACGATTTCAAGATATAATATTCTCTGGAATATCTATAGTATATTTTTACGTGTTCTCTATTGCATTTTATGTGTTAAGTCAAAATGTTCGTATGTATCTAAGGCATAATTTCTTCAATTTTATAGAAATTTCTGACCCGATCAGATCGTACTAAAAGTGGCGATATCAGCTTGGCTGAATTCCTACACTACGTCCGCGAACATGAGAAAAATCTGCGATTGCAGTTCTCCCATCTTGATAAAAATAAAGATGGTAAGCGTGCATTTAATAAGCCTTGCTAATCAATTCTAAAAACAATGTACCTACAAGTTTTATTAAGTTATAATGTAAACATCCTGTTTTTTAAATGAAGACTGGCTGATAAACTAGTACATTACTAGTTAATATTTATTTGTTTAATACGAGGGGGAAACCGCCGAGGGCATTGTGGTGCACAAATTAACGGCATTACTAGGCATTTTTTTGGCATTAGTTTGGGCATTAGGTCTTGCTGGGGCATTATAAAGATAAAATAAGACAATAAGATAAAGTAATGCCCACTTGGCATTAGTGGGCATTGGTGTACGAGATTTTGGTCGGTGGTTTTCCCCTCGGTTTAACGTATAGAGAAATTTACGAGACACTTGAAACATCTTTTATGTATCTTAATTTGCAGGAAAGATAGATTTAGAAGAATTAATAAGAGCTTTCAAGGAGCTGGGTGTAGAAATTGCTCAGGAGGAAGCAACAAAGCTGTTACAACGGTAAAACTTTATTAATTATATTGCATGTTCAAATTCGAAAGTGTAGCTTCGGAGCCAAGTTCTTGCGAAAACTATGTTGTTTATTGCGAAAAGATTGTGAAACATTAAAGAAACGTTAAGAACTCGTTACTAAATATTTTTCAACTTGTCACACCCGCGTGACATTATGAGATAATTTTAATGCCACGATACTCGAGCGATATACTGCAAGAACTGTGTGCGTAGCATGGACCAAGATGGAAGTCTCAACATCAGTTTCAACGAATGGCGGGATTTTCTTCTCTATGCACCAAGTACCACCCTGCGCGATATTATCGAGTACTGGCATCACACCACGGTGAGTATATCGTAATTTAATGTTTGCATTAAGAGGATATACACAACGTTCGTTGATATCAAGATGCACGTGTTGTCCGAGTGTTGTGTCACCTCTATTATCTAAATTACGAAAATATTGCGAACAGTACCCGAACGTCTGGACCATGATACTTATATTATTTGTAATGGAAAAAACGTCCTTTATTGGCACTGAAGTGTCACCAGTTGCTTCGGATTACTCACCCGAATTGGGTGGATATTTGCTGGCGGTTCAACTTTTAAATTTGGTTTTTTTGTAACGAATAGCCAATATACGCTATACGTATGCGGTACGTAAGACCGTAAGACTATCTCCATATTTTATTTGGTATATGCATACGTATAGACGAGATTATTAACTTTGATGGACACTGACTTTGCAAAACACCTTGGTAAATGTGCGGTTACATTATGAAATTTTCAGTAAGTTTATCTGACGAAACTCTGCGCAATGTTTCGTCAGCTGTTTCTTATGTCATACCAGTGGTTCCCAACTTTAAATAATGTATATTAGAGACCCCGTAATCCGAGACTGGCCATAAGAGTTGGTTAAATTCCCGCGAGTGAGAGAGAAATATATAGGCTATCTCACTCTTCTACCATCATAGAAACGTAGAAGATTGAGATAACCCATGTTTCTCTCTCACTCGCGGGAATTTGACGAACCCTTATGGCCGGTCTCTGATTACAGGGTCTCTAATGTATAATGCACTTTTATATCTCGATAAGTTTTATAATGTGATTCGCCGATCTAACAATTATTCATAAAACTCAGTAAAGGAAAGTCCTTAAGGGGGAAACCGCCGAGGGCATTGTGGTGTACAGATTTGCGGCATTACTAGAGATTTTTGGGCATTAGTGGGCATTGGTGTACAAGATTTTGATCAGTGGTTTCCCATTCGAAAGTCCCCTGTTGTGAGATAGGCTTCTAACATGAGATAGCGGGGATTGTGTTAAATTAATAGGTATCATCTGTTGGTTCCACCATGGATTTATTGCCCTCGGAGTGAAATCTGTTTAGTGGAAAATTGATTGTTAGGTCGTGTAATCGTTGCGAAAAAAGATTTGTGATTGAATTCGGACGTTGAAAACCTGCTATCTTATATTACAATCTTATTTCATAATAGAGGATTTTCTTCTACCAATAATTCAATTGGACTATTAACAATTTTATTAACAGTATGAATGGTAAAGCCAATGACATAATAATGCTCGAAAAAACTAGAAAATAAGTGTGCGATAGCGTAGCGTTAAGTGCGGAGCGATAGAGGGGAAGTACTACTAAGTAATAATAATTAACAGGAACAATATAAAAAAAAAGACGATAAGAACATACAGCATTATATTACATAATATTGCGTAACTGGAAATAATCTTGATCAGCACTAATATATAACGAGTATAATTAGCACCGCATATACATATGGAAAATTGAAGTGTAGACAGTGCGATTGGAACTTGATAAGTTTGCCCTACCGCCGACTCTCTCGTGTGGGTAAACTTTGCACCGTGCACACGCGACGGCCGCCGACTTTGATCATCGTCATCGCACGGGTATTTGCCTCGATGACGCGCGAGCCTCTGACGTCGAAGAATGAGCAATGACGAGGAGGAAATCGGGGGCAGGGGGCAGACCGGCGGACGGAGGCGTACCCCGTTTTGGAGGGGGCGATATCTCGGTGTCTCAGGGTTTTTCCTCGTGCGCCCTCATCTCGTCTCGCCAGTCTCGCAACCAGACTCCGAGCGGCCGAGTCTTCGGTTCGTAGCTCGTTACCATCTCCTCCCTTCCCTCGGCCAGCACGACGGTTCAACGTAGATCAAGACCGTTTATTACCTTAGCGGAGCGTATACCCGAACGGAGTCGTACATTTTCCTCGGGCCGCGTGCATCAGCCTCGTGTCCAGATTGCCCGGCCGTCGTCTCTCGCGATCGGCCGCCGGTGATTTTTGGACCGCCAGATTATTCCGAGCGATTCCCATAGGTCGCCGGGCACCGCGATCTAAAGATACCGAGGCGTACCGAGGAGGGGAACCGTCGAGAATTTGCGCAACCCCGATCAGCGCGGAACATCCACAGTTGGATAGAAAGTTCGAAAGTCGCGAAAGTGCAAATCTCGTAGTGCGAAGCGAGATTCGAGCGTGCAAAAGCCCGGTCCGTCTTCGCTCGACAAGCGTGATTTTGCGACCACGTGACTCGACCATCTAACAAACCGGCAAATATAGTTCAATTGTGATACGAGAAGTAAGGAAGTTGATTCGTGATTCGAAAGAGAACCGTGCAGAACGAAGATAAGTTTTCGAACAGAGATTAAGGAATACAGCGGGAGAAAAGTGGAAGAAGAGGGAAAATAAGCGAGGATAGAACGTTGGAAACACAAGGGGAAAATAGTGGAGAAAAATAGAACACGAACCGGAAGCAAAAGAAAAAAGGTTCTGGGAAGAGGGAGTACAAAGGAAATAACATAACGTATCGGAGGGGACAGAAAAGTCTGGAAGAATCAGCTGGAGGGAAAAGGCGGTAGACTCGAAAGCGAACGGTACACGGCCGACTTCATGCGGCGAGCTTGCGCGCGACCACATGACTCGGGATTACAGCTGATTGACCGCAGCATGTATGCCCTGAAGAATCCGCGAATTCTCCATCACGACAGCACCCTGTCCACGTGTCAAGTCCGCGAGGAATTTCTGCAGCGCTATCATGAGTTCTTGCAACGGGTGAGTAGAGTGGTCTTGGGCCGGGGGGGGGGGGGGACTGGGGGCTTGCCGATCAAGTAGCCAATCGGGTCTCAAGTTTATCGTGGTATTCCATTTCGAATGGAAAAAGAAAGCGTCAGGTGCGCGAGGCAAGGTCAGCGTTGAAGAGCGAAAGTGATTCTGGAATGCGAGTCTCGGAGGGAAATTGGTCTTTTCAGCTCTCCTCGCACGCGCGCACATACACACCTACGTTAAGCACGTCCGGCCAGCCTGCTGCGTCAATTATTTAACGTTATTTTCACCTGACTGGCGTCCGTAGACGTCGACGGTGATGCAAGTCCCTTTCCATCCGTACCTACTTGCGTTGCCTAGTTTTTACAGTCGCCGTCGATTATCGCAATGACGCGATAACGATACTAAAAAGAGTTTGTTTCCGTTGGAGATATGATTCTAAATTGGAAGAACGGCGCAATTCTTGTGAGCTCGATACAATGGCATGTACGTTTTATATAGAGGAAAGTCCTCTATTATGAGACAGCGGGTTTTCAACACCCAAATTCAATCTTCTCCCGCGACGATTACACGATCTAACAATGAATTTTCCACTACACAGATTTCACTCCAAGGGCAATCGATTCACGGTGGAATCAACAGATGATGCCTATTAACGTAACGGAAAACCCGTTATCTCATATTAGAAGTCTATCTTATAATAGGAGACTTTCCTCTACCTTTGAGGTTTCGCTTCTGATACATTCGTTTTATTTTGAGTGCGGAAAATGTGGCTTCAGAAGGAACAGGCCTAGGATGTTATACCTGTAGACTTGCCTGGCTCGTCGCCCAGTCGAGCTAAGAGGATGCTGGGGAAAATGTTTTTAGTTCGCAATCGACTTTGTCGTTGGACGAATCGCGAGTCACCTCGCTTAGAATAATCTACTTCCTTTATCGCGTAACATTGCGCCGAGTAAATTGCAAAAATATTCCGTCGTCTTTTCGCGAACAGCCAGCCCGGTTTCGCAAAATTATTACGTCACCGGTTATGACTGCGAGATTAGCTGAAGGAGGTAGACCAAACAAACAAATAAACTTCAAATCTAATAGCATAAATTGAACTGTATACCGCGAGGAGCTCTATATGTGTTGTAACGATGACTCGTAAAATCTACGCGTGTTAAGTACATTTTATCTGTATGCTCCGTATCTATTTTAATTTAAAATATTAAAGAGGATAACTTAACTTATGTCTAGACACTTTGTCTGTAGCGTGTGAATTATAACGACCGAATAGAGAGCTTAAAGGACAAGTCGGACCGATGGAAACCAAGTTTGTATTCTTGAAAGTAAATGTGATGTAACCTTTATGGCGTAAAGTTCAAAAGTACACGCTGCTGGGAATCTCGATTTTCATGTTTGTGAAATTTTCTGTTATTTTATTATCATTAAATATCTGCGTAAAAGTAATTTATATCGTTACGCAGGAGTTGAATAATGTGCTGAAAGTACGCGTATTAAAACTAGTATAAAAATAACAGCATTTTTTGCAAATAATCATTGAGGATTCTTTTACGAAACGAATGTCGCGGGTTCGATATACCGGGATTTGAATTACAACACGAGTTTTGTAACGGAATATTTGTAATATAATAGTGCTATTGTATGCGGATTCGGTTACCCTTGTTGAAACGCAGCGGTACAATATTTCCATATCCATGATCGATAATTCAAATGATATGTATACAAATGCGCGTGTGAATTCGAAGAAAAAATAGTTGGCAATAATCTTATCACCCTGTCGATCAATGTTTACGTTGAGGGTCAGGCAAAGGCTGCGTTTCGATATTCGTTTCTAGTGCTGAAAATATGTAACGTACGTTGCGTGCACTAGGTTTTCCACACTGGCAATAAATATCGGAACGCAAACGTAATCGCTCGTACAAGGAACAGAGATAAGCGCAAGTACTTCCAACAAATTACTGAATTCCCAGAGAACAATTAAGGACGATGGATACAAATGTAAAAACTACCCGATATTTTTATCAACAAATTTATAAATAGCTATCTTGAATTATTCTCGTGAGTATTACTGGAGAAATTAAATAATAGCTCAAAGTTGAATGTATAATTAATACTATTTATAAGCGACTAGTATCAATTCTGAGAAAACGGCCTGTTTCTTATTAAGATTTTCATAAAAACCGAGAAATTTACGTAAAGTAACTTTTTTTTCATAAAACGTGAAATAGAATTATTCGAACAAATTTACGTAAATATGTTAACAAATGTGTAAACGCCACTTTACATGTATGCGATATACCGTAGACACGATAATATGTGATATAACGAAGATGCGATAATACGCGTATACTTGAGCCCATCAGAAGCTAAACTGACTCCGTGAAATAAAAAGAAGTTGATGAAATTGATAAAGTGATATCCATTAATATTTGTAATAAAATTTATATCCTATGTCTCTGTATCGAATGATTCGATCAACAGTTGGATGATTATAGGCAATTTCTTTTTAATTACAGTATATGGATATTGGGGAGGACATCGGCGTCCCCGAAGAATTCACGAAGGGCGAGATGGTATCTGGAATGTGGTGGCGACATTTAGTATCCGGTGGAATAGCAGGCGCGGTATCGCGTACTTGCACCGCGCCCTTAGACCGTATCAAGGTCTACCTACAAGTGAGTATTTGCATGACTCTCTTTCAATTCACCCGACTCACAACTCACTGAATTCATTATCAAATTTACGAATATATGTATGTACACAAGTAATAAACATTTTTTTAATATAAATTACATATAATATCGAAAATATATAATCTATATGTTCATTAAATATTGTTAGAAACATGTATATGTTTTGTGTAATCTAATATGTATGTAGACTAAATAATAAAATGTCGAAAATCATTGTTATTATGCATTGTACGAAACGATTCGCTGTGACGACATGTCGAGCGAGCGAGTAAATTTGTCTAGTTTGCTTTAATACAACGAGAGAATCGTCCGATCGTCCTTGCAGGTCCACGGCACACGTCACTGCAATATCTTGAGTTGCTACAGGTACATGTTGGGCGAGGGTGGCTTTAAGAGCCTGTGGCGCGGCAATGGCATTAACGTACTCAAGATTGGCCCGGAGTCAGCGCTCAAGTTTATGGCATACGAGCAAGTGAAGCGGGCGATCAAGGCGGGCGACGAGGGACGCGAACTCGTGCTCGGCGAACGATTTTGTGCTGGCTCCTTGGCCGGTGGCATCAGTCAGTCGATTATTTATCCTCTCGAGGTATATTCCTATTTATCTTGTCATTTACACTTGATTCTTATCGTTATTTTAATGCGCACACAGAGATTGATAAAGATTGAATTATATGCAATGAGCAATTATTTGTATGAAATAAACAAGAGATACAAGTAAAGATATACAACAAACTTCCAGGTGCTGAAGACGAGACTTGCATTGCGAAAAACAGGCGAATTCAATGGCATGGCTGACGCAGCCAAGAAAATATATAAACAGGGTGGTTTGAAATCCCTTTACAGAGGCTATGTACCCAATTTGATAGGAATACTTCCTTATGCTGGCATCGATTTAGCTGTCTACGAGGTAAGTCGATGCTGAGGAAAAGCTTTTTGTATTTTTTTTTGCTTCCTCATAGAGGAAGCTTTGTTTTCGTGAAAATTTTTTTTCCAGTTTTCTTTGAAAACATGTTTAGAATGTTCCAAAACGTCCAAAAATCACATTCAGAAAAAATGTCGGTATGTATGTATGTATGTGTGTATGTATGTATGTATGTATGTATGTCTGTACGTATCCTTATAAGGTAACTCTAAATAACTTTTTAAATATGTAAGATGGAGAAAAATGTTAAACATGAAAGTTGTACGGTTTCAAGTAATGCATTACATAGTAATATAAATATGACCTTGAACAGCTTCCTCAAGGTCACGTAAAGATCACCTTGAAATTGTTAAAGGGAAACCCGGTTTTTTAATGCATATTCTTATAGCTTACCTCAAGAGCTTTCCAAAACACTATAATAAAGTATATTTTCGTTAGGTACTTTCGGAGTTATGTGCTTTTGAATTGTTTTTGAGAAATGTCTGTGGTTGCTGTAATCGCAAATTTTCTTTAATAATGATTTCCAAAAATTTCAAATGTCTATAACTCAAGAACTAATTAATCATATTTTAATGAATTATATATGAAATTTTGATAGAAAAAACTGAAGAACAATATAATATATAATTAGAAAAAAAAGTAAAGTAAAGTAAAGTGTGCAAATTAGAAATTTGCACATGGCTTCCTCATAGAGGAAGCTTTAAGAGCGAAATAAGAATATGCAAATTTCTAATTTGAATACTTTCGAGAATCATCGTAGTAAAGTTAGATTTCTCTCTTAAAGCTTTCTCTATGAGGAAGCCATAACAATGGAAGCAATGTGCAAATTTCTAATTTGCTTACTTTAATGATGAGGAAGAAATATGCAAATTTCTAATTTGCACGCTTCAATAATGAAGACGCAATGTGCAAATTTCTAATTTGCACACTTTCAAGAAACATCGAAAAAAATTAGATTTCGCTCATAAAGCTTCCTCCATGAGGAAGCCATGTGCAAATTTCTAATTTGCACACTTTACTTTTTTTTCATAACTATTATGATATTATTTATATAAACTTAAATTTATGCAGTTCAATTCATTACGTAATTTGTGTAGTAAATCAAGGTAAACTTTCCAACTTTTCTCGGCGATTGTTTGAAAGGTGGATATTTTTACAGACGTTGAAGAACCATTACTTACGCACGCATGACAAAAAGGAACCGCCGCCATATTGGATTCTATTACTGTGTGGCATCGCGTCGAGCACGGCCGGCCAAGTATGCTCGTATCCGTTAGCGTTAGTGCGGACGCGATTGCAGGCCGATTGTTCGCCCAACACCATGATTGGCGCCTTCAAAGATATTCTCCGCCGCGAGGGAATACGCGGTCTGTATCGCGGCATCACGCCTAATTTTCTCAAGGTATGTGGTCGTTAATAAATAAATTATATTGATTTTCTGGGAGTTTTTCTAGGGTTCCTATAATTGAATCTATAGAAATTTGCTTAGCTTTAATTTCATACAATAATCCTTCTAAATTTATGATTTTAATGAATATCTGTAGTATAGTTTATTACATATAAATATAAAAATATATTTCTCTTTTGCACAGGCCGTACCTGCCGCATCTACTAGTTACGTAGTATACGAGCATTTTCGACAGGCATTAGGCGTCAACATGACGTGATGAACATGAATGCTAGGTGACTGATTAATTCAATTAACTTATTCTCTCTTTTTCTCTCTCTCTCTCTGTCCCCCCTCTCTCTTTTCACTCGTTATAAATAATCGACATGGCGAAAGATCATTTAGCGATAAAACGTATTTCGTCTTTCGTCAAAAAACAAAAATGTGTAAAGATAAAAGAAAATGGCAGTGTGTTTATTTATTGTTATCGCTAACGTGAGAAACTTCTTCGATTAATCGACCGTTCAATCTCTCGCAGTTCTTTTAATAATTTATTAAGATTTTAATATTTTTTTATTTTAATATTAATAAATTAAGCAAAAATAGTGCGAATCAAAATATTATAATTGTCAATTTTCTAGCAATTGCTGTTGTATAGATTGTTGTTAATATAATGCAATGATACTTTATTTCGGCGATTACAGTACAAAGAATATCTTGCGTGTAAGAAAAGTATTATGTGTAGTCTTTTTGTAAACAAATATGAGCAAGTTTTGAAACAGCGATCAAAGAAGGATAGGCCAGTCTCGATTATTATTTAGTGTAAAGACGTATTTTATCGGCGGAAACGTTCAAGTCAACAATTTGCATATAAATCACTCTACTCTATAATTATAATTGTGTTAAATATTTAAAAAATTTTAATTTTTTATCACGTAACTTAAAATTATAAAACGTGAATTTTACATATTTTTGTGATTATTCATTAATTGAAAAACAGTATGTTACATTTTTATGTATTATAAAATTATTTCAAATTTACAAAGTTATGAATTCAACTTATGACTTGGATGTTAGCAAAAATACGTTTTGTTAGGATATGTAAAAGTGATTTAATGTCGACCTAAAGGATTCCGTTTTAATTGGGAGGATGGAGGATCGAGTTATACATTGACACTGTGATATGTATATGACTGTAAACTTTTCCGCATGATTTATCAACACTGCGCTTTGTAAATTACAAGATTATCGCTTTCAAATATTATGTACAATAACTTGATCCATTGAGACACAAAGCATTTTGTATGAAATAAGTTATTTTTGTGTAATTTTGTTAGCAGAAACATTTTTGGTGGATGTTTTGATACGTAGGATTTAAATATATATTTTCATATTTTTTAATTGTAATAGATTCACATTATGGAAAACAATGGTAATAAAAATATAATAAAACAGCAAAAAAAATTTGTTCAATGAACGAAATAAAATCTTATATTTATAATTTCTTAAATAATATATATAAAATACACAAAATTTTTCTAAGCTAAAAATAGAATTAACATTCTATTTTGTATTCTTTCATATTTTTTAAAATATTTTACAGTAATACAAAAACTAATTCTATATACTTTTCTGCTACATCTTTTTATTAAATTCGACTACACATATATCTTTTTTTATAAACAAGAGAAAAATATATGTTGAGAAATTCTGAAATAACAAACAGAATTTTAAACACGCGTATGTATAACATCGAGTATAAAATTCCTGTTCAGAGCTATGGCTAGCTATTAGTCTTGGAGATCTCTTTATATTAATTTTTCTTCTGCATACAAAGAAATATGTTTCAATTTATTATAAACGTATATTATTACTTAGACTTTTATTAAAAAGTTGAAAAAGAAAAATAAGTGATTCAGTGGATCAAGCTTTTCACGATAACTTAGCGATAATAATTACTATATTGTTGTAAATCATGCGGCACTCGGTTTTCATCTCAATCTTGTTAGTACTTCGTATATACAATAAACTCGATTTCACCGGCCGTTGCGATTTACTATTATATTCCGGTTACTACGATTCATTCCCCTAGATAAGTTTTACGAACTTATAAACTATGTATATTATGTATTTACATGTATTATAAAACATGTATAGTTAGACACACATGTTGTTTATGAACGAATATTCGGGGAATAGCGATGACTCGTGCACGATAAATATACCAATTGCCTTCGAGAACAACGCAATAATGCTAACGATAAACTGTGGACAAGACAAATTTTATTTTATTTCACACATTCACCACCAAGCGTATTTTACTTTTCGTTTATGCCAATGGAATTGTTGCACTAAAAAAACAATGAAAAAATTTTTTAAATATATATTATATAACAGTCAATTTATACTTAGTAGTAAGTTTGTAGTATCGAATTGCATATAGTAAATACATAATGTATTACATTTATTTACCGTTGTCCCACCAGTGACTGTCATAGCAGTGAATATGTTAAATGCTAATTTTAAATTTAATCTCATTCAATTCGAATTAATAGGAAACCTGACACATAAAAAATGTAATATGGTGTAAAAACATTCCGGCTGTATTAATTTTTCTTAAAATAGAAATTCCTACTAGGAGTTAATCCTCCGTAAACAAAAATTTCATAGGAATTTTTTTTTAATTATTATGAACGATTATCGAAATATTTATCGTGAATGAGTTATTGGATCGGACATGATTGACATTTTTTATAGCAAAAGTGTAAATGTTAATTTATGTGTACATATGTGACACATTAACACACATTGTATATATATACATATATATAATGTATGTGTTAATTGCTATTTATTAATAACAGTGCAAATTGATACAGTACACACACATACACACATGCACACATACCCATATATACATTTTTGCATGTTTTTATTAGGTCAGATGTTTTGAAAAAAGAACTAGTTAGTAAAATAATTAATATTATTTAGTCATCAAATTATAATATTATAATTAATATTATATCGGTTATTCAAACAACAAAAATTCGCAATAAAATGAGAAGTTCCAAGAACTGAATATTGAAGAACAATAAAGAACATCATGTATAACATAAGCGATCTTTAATTATTATCTACCTTCAAAATTATTCCTTAAATTCTCATACGAGACCTGACAATAAAATTCGTGAGCGTAATTAATATAACTAGCTCACTGTGAAGATAGACGACAGAGACTGCATTCCAGTTCAGTAATTAGATAACTGCTGTGTCATAAATTATTTGTAAATTATTGTCAAATCTCATGTATATGTGGAAAATTAAATAAAATCACAGGCTGAAATGAAAGAATTTGAGCTTACAATACAGCGATTAAAACCATAGTTTTAATGATAATTTAACATTAGAATCTGTATTATCAAAATCTTTCTTTTTTTACATTAATTATATCATTTATTAAAATATGATAATATATTATATATATCACGAATATAATTATGAATTTGTCAATATGTCGCTTTATTTAGAACAATTTTTCAGTTTTGTTATATATCACAAAATATATTACGGACTGTATAATTGTTTTTCTGCATATATCTGCGGAAGAAAACACTTTCGTTAAGTTGGTGTAATTAACATTCTTATAAACTTAATAAATCTTAACTTAATAAATCTTGAAATGATAACAAAGATAAAAATACAAAAATTTAAATAACGATTTTTTATGTTTTGCTTGAAAGAATGGACTCGTACTAGAAATGAAGAAAAAAACGATTGATTTTTAAGCGAGTTTCTCCAAGAGAGAAGAGAATGAGAAAAGTTAATCCGACAAGAAATTTCGAGGAAATCCTTAAATGTAGACCAAAATTTTATCCGTTTGAATCTGATTTCAGATTCTGAATTTGTTGAAGTGAAACCTTTTAGGGTTAATCTGTTTTTTCCCCTTTAAAGAATCATAAAATAACGATATATGTCAAATATTTTTAAAAACCCTAATTTGTATGTGTTTCTATTTTTGATTAATATCTCTTCTGTGAAGATTAAGGAAATTAAATTATTTCCTTAATTTTCATTTTTTTGTTATTAAATTGTATATTTTCTTGAAAATGCAAAACTTTTATTACTTTCTTATTAAATATTATCTTTTTACAATACGTAGATTGATTTACAATAACAAAGTTTGCACATTTTATATAAACGACATTGTTGAGCAATATCAGTCGAAAATTGAATTTTCAATTTTCCCACGAGTCATTTTCGTACGCCTTTGGTACGAGCATATAGCGCTTCAAATACTCTATCGACTTTAATAGTAAATTGTGATGAAAAAAAAAATAAAACATTAAAATATAGAGTTGAGCTGAAAAATTTTAAAGAAAAAGTAAAGACGATAATAATACGTGGTATGGAATGTCATAAAATCGATGTAATGTAGTGGTGGTCTTGTTTTATCCCACCTCGCATTTCAGTCTGAGATGAGTAGTCTGCCCGCTTCTTGATCGAGCAGCCAAAAAAGAGTGCCATCAACTGGATCCACTCTGGTAGCTGGTAAATCTTCCTTGTTTTTCAAGACCCTCTGTGTGAACAATAGTAGTAATTTAAATCAAATTCTTATATTCTTCAACTTTTCTTTCATTTCTTATATATATCCTATGTGCAATTCTCCAATATTATTTCAATTTATCACATGCCTGTTTCAATAAATATATTCTAATTATAGAAGTCAAAGAGTAAGTGTAAAATAAGATCCAGATCAACACGAGATAAAAAAATCCTAGTTGTGCTAGCTGTTAAAATAAATGGTAAAAAATTCTTAAATAATGTTATTTATTATCTTTAGAATCTCTATTATCTCGTTTTCCTGAATTTAACTGGATATCTTGGAGAAAGTATAAACATTTGAAAAATTAAGCATTAAGAAAAACGAAAATTTGTTGGATCATTTGATTGGAAATGTTAACTATTTAGGTTAATTTTACGGATATGAAAGTGCAAAATTTAAATTAATTATTAATTTGTAGGAAAAACTAATTACTTTGACGATCTCAGCCTTGCTAGCGCCGGTGACAACGAACACACACATGCGAGCATTATTAATGACTGGCATAGTAAGACTGATTCTACTGGGTGGCGGTTTCGGCGCGTTCAACTCCCATGTGACCCACATGTTCTCATCATCGAGGGCACGATGACCCGGGAAGAGCGAGCATGTGTGCCCGTCCTGACCCACCCCCAACAGCAGGCAATCGAATCTCGGTAATCTGTCCGGCGGGAAGAAGAAGGCCATTTTTTTAATGTAATCCTTCGCCGCGTTCTCGGCTATAAATATATATAAATAAATAAATGACAAATAAACCATACAAATAATGTTAAATGATAAAAAATATGTAACAATAAAATCATATAACAATGTAACGGATCATTAAGGTGTAAATAAAAAATTACAAAATAATTATAAGTATACATATACAAACGACAATAAGTTATAATAAACTGGAGGCGCAATAAGTACATCGTAAAGTTATACTTGTAAAAATAGAAATAGATTACAGATTAAGTACCGTTGAGTTCTGGATCAACCTTCATGAACTGCTCCTCGGTGACAGGCACTTTTCCAAGTAAACAACTTTTGTAGAGGCCGAAATTTGACTCGGAATCTTCGAGAGGCACTATTCGTTCATCACAGAAGAAAAAGCGCCACTTGCTCCAATCGGTTGCAATGTTAGGCAGGGATTTGGCCAGCAGTTGTACCACCGAACCGCCTATGCAATTGATAATCGTTTAAAAATTATTTTCTCACTATTCCCTTTGTGGATATTATTTGATAAAGATGATATTTATGGTAACAGCCCGCGAAGCTTTCTACTATTTAAAGTGATAGCTTCGTAAATCATTCGAATCTGAAAATAAAAGCAGAAAATAACACGACAACTTAATCGACATTCGATTAGATGTATACATTTTCTAGATATTCTATATTTTTTCAACCATCAGAAATTATCCTCGTTTCGTATCGTGTTTCGATAATCAAAGTCGCGTAGAAGCGCGGCATAAGACGGACAATCGAGCCGTTGAGTCGATGATTGATCCACATTTTTCCCTTCAAATTACACCTCTCTGAATTTCTTGTGACATTTTCGGAATATACAAATTCGTAACTTCGGGTAAATTGTGAAAAAATAGTGCCACAATATTTAATAAAAAGTTTCCAAGCATCCCCGAACGGTGTCTCAATTGAACTTTTAAATAATTTTTATGATTCTCCTAATTCATCCTGTTTATAATAGTTTTGCAATTACGCAAATATAAAATGAATTTCTGTAAACATAAAACAGCTTTTATACCGCTCTGTTTATAAATTAATAAATATTCTGATACCGGTTATTGATCGCCGATGACTCACGCAATTACTAAACAGAATTTTTAGGGTTCACGTATGCGGGTGAAATTTTAGCTAAAAAATGAGCCATCGAAAATGCTGTCGAGTGCAGAGAGTGTAGATGAAAAACAAAGGAAAGAGACGAGCAGATAAAAATTTGCTGACGTGTGCAGGAAAGGCAGGAAATAGGAAATTTATGGAAAACTGCCCCGTCTCGTTTGTTCACAAATTTCAACGAGTTCGTCGCTCGTTTTCGCGCGCAACGGTACGAGAATGCGTGACTGGAAGCGAAACTGGGGAAAAAAAAACCGAAGAGTCATTCTCGCGTGACTACAGCGTGGAAATCCGCACGTCTTATCGTAACCGAGGCTAGCCGCGAAATAGAACCGTGAAGATCACAAAGGGGATAAAATTTGACGGTAGCGGCGAGTAGGGTTGGGCGCGCGCGGTAGAAATACGAGCGGAATTATGTTATTAAGAATTTGCGAGATCACCTGATACGCCAAAACGAAAGATCCGATCGTCTCGCGAGATCGCGTCGTCGGCGGCGCGGGCGACGAGATTGGAGATCCTGGAGAGCAACTGCTCCTCATCGGTGGCCACCACTATCTCCGTCATTGCGTGTGTTCCTTCGCGTGCGGGCGAGCGAAAGCGAGGTTATCTCGCGTACCATACAACTTTCGAACGCGACGACCGATGTCCAGCCAATTAACACGGCCACTGAGCATCGGAAACTGTGATCGTGGACTCGGTCGGCCGGCTGGACGAAGCTCCGTACCAGAGTATGGATTAGGCTTGAGATTATCTTAAGCTTTGACCAATCGGAGGAAAGTTCACTATACCTTTGAGACTAGTGAACTTGGCTCTGATTGGTCAAATGCGAAATTTTCGATTACATCGAGCATCGATGACAAATCGCGGGAATTCAGCAATCGCACGATGATATCAATCACTGGCCGCATTCAGCGGAGAAAACTGCTCAATGAGCGCTTGCGCCGATTGGATTGTTCTTTAAAAATCTAAAGCGTCGTCTACAATAACCGGCGTAAGCGTGGAGTAAGAAGAAGTAAGAAAACCTAACCTTTACCTTTCAGTGTAAAAGCTAAAGAATAGACATAATTTTTTTAAATATTTGTAGCACTGGTCGAACTACGCTTTAATTCGCCGCGAGTAAGCGTCAGAGCTGAAGTAGGAGTAGGAAATGGAAATGATCCATTTCTTTACTCCTACTCTTACTTCTTGCGCCAAGCTTACTCCACCTATTGTAGACGACGCTTTAAAGTAAAGTTTACTAATCCCAAGTTTAGTAACTTTTACTCCAATTGGTCAAATTCCAATCCAATCTCAATCTCAATCCGTAGTCTGATACGGGCTTTATTAAAATTGGCGGGAGAATATTTCAGGATGTCACATGTTGTCATAAAGAGTTCGAAATCGTACACCCGAGGCGATAGATATTCAACAGGAAAATGAAAGAAGGAAAATAAAGTTGATATGGAGTCTGCCGATCTGTTAATGGAATCTGCCGACGAAGGGTGATTAGTTAACAGAAATTATCTTAAACTTTCCACGTGTTCTCTTGGCATTTTACAACCCTTCTCTTTCTCTCTGTAAAGGAACGTCCGCACGAAGGAGGACGTTTGCGAGATTTTGGAATTGGCTACAATAAAAGAGTCCGATTTAAGTGCCGTGACGCAATGTCTATATCCCACGCGGGATCATCAGACCGATGACTTGATGTTGCTGGAGGTGGACGAGCACATATTAAGCGGGTTAGGCGAGGGAGACGCGTATGTTCCTGTGCAATCTCGCTTGCAATTGTTGTCTAGTAAAGTAGAGCCTTGAGAGGTCTTCGAGAACGTTAACTTATTTGCAATCCTTATTCTGCAGAATAAAGTGATTCTAAGTAATTTTATGACGCTAGAATATCATTTCGTGGTAACAAACATGACAACGCTATGCTGTGCACGCAAACTCGGACCTACGAGATCAGAGAAGCCGAGATATCCAACTCGTGGTTGCTGGTACCGGACTTGAAGCTGGGCATGGCAACAGGTGCCAGAGCAGTAACTGAGAGAACTGTAGAGAAACGTAACGTAAAGAAAATATTTAACTCGTACTACGAGGTACTTGTAATAATCCTACGCTATTTAAGTTTTATCTAAAATGTTGAATCGTATGAAATATACGATTACAATATCTTGTGTTGAAGGTTAAAGAAACCAAACCTAATCTGGCAAGCTTGTCCACTCTGCTTAATTCATCGTCCTTCAATGGATTAGAATATGAAGCTACGGTAGATCGGAAGACATTATACAGTTGGGAGAGATTACAAAATGAGTTGCAAGCCAGCGATTACGAGTTGAAACAGGCTCTGTCAGATTTCTTAATAGCTGACATAGACGGTGTGCGATTAACATCTATTTTTTATTGTATTAATCAAGTCACGTTTTATTTATGCAAATGGCATTGTCTGACTTGAAGCGCTTTTTGTACCAAGGTTATTTGCGTCTCATATCATTTGACGTAGAAGCAAGGAGCTTGAATTTGATGTTGAATTATTTTGAAGAACAGTCTTGGGAACTCGATGAGGTAGACAAAGAGAGTACGTACGAATGTTTAAAGGAGCTTATCCACGAGCCAGTGTTCGATGTTGTATTCGAAAGATATGCGAAAGTAAGCTCAAAGACAAAAGATGATGGCAGACCGTTGTATACGTATGTACATTATTTTCTAGCAATTAATGGGAAAATTTTACGATTGAGAATTTACATTTTTCAAACATAATGTCTTGAGTAGATACAACGAAGAAAAGTGCTGCACAATGGTAGCAAAGGTTCTTCTTGCCGCCTCTCCTGTCACTGAATACAAAGAATTCATGGAAACGTGGAACTTCGGAACACCCGAAAGTACGGAATTAATAAGCTAGAAATCGTAGTTGTATGATCTTTCCTCGAACTTGTAATTTCTCTATTTTTTAGAAATGCATCCAAAAATAGAGTACTTATGTGGATCTGCTCTTGTAACGTACAATTCAAAAATGGAAAAAGAAATCGTATCTTGTCCGGAGGCAGATTTACCGAACAACATTCACGACAGACTTGGCGAACTTTTTCAAATCAAAGCTAAATGGACTGTTGAAGAGATAACACCTTATATTACGTAAGTGAAAGTAATACATGCTGTTATTACTTTAAATCTTGTGTAATCGGTTTTTTTTTCAGGCGCTTTACAAAAGGTGCAATGAATGTTAATGCACTTTTAACAAAGTATGCCAGATGTTCGACAAAAGATGGGATAAAGTATTACGGGTCAAAACATGGCAAGTGATACAGTGACTACATTTGTGGTATGCATTCAATTGTCTTACAATAAATACTGATACATGTGTTATTAATTATATTAATGTCAGAACAATATTTCAGAATTATCTATAATGTTAAAATAATAGTGTTAAAATGACGCGTAATTTATTTAGCCTGTGATCATATATACAGTTACATTTGCACAATTTATAAATATTTTGAAGACGAAATAAAATTATATAATTTAATTTTTTCATTTATTACTTCACTGATGCAACACTGATATTATCAGTGATTTATTATTATTATTATCACTCATTCATTATAATAATTTTATATTAGACGATAATTATAAATTTTATTGGCCATAAACTCTTATCACGCCATTGACTATAGAATTTTATTATAGAAGCATTTTTTAAATCAACTTTCTCTTTGATTGTTAATATCTGACGTTATTAATAATTCAATTTGAATATAATATTCCTCACAAAAGTTGACTGGATTGAATAATCATAGATCATTCTTAAATTCGATATTTATCTCGTCACAATTTATTATTTGTGTCGAATAATAAAATTTCCGTAAATATGTGTTAGAGGAAGGAAAGAATGAATTTAACTTATGAATGATGCTGGAAAATTTCGAAAAAAACACAAATGATACACATAAATATTTTTATACGGTAAAAAATATTGAAGAATTCTTATAATAAAATATAGCATTGCGTTAAAACACATAATGGCCAAATTGATGTTTTACTTAAGACACATTGCTCTTTTTTCATAGTGTTGTACATATTTTCAATATATTCAATTGAAGAAGTATTTGATGTTTGCACAAATAAAAAAGCACCATCAATAATTATAAATATTCATTATTTTCTGGTTCCCGGGATAGCAGCTCCTTTGACAGGACATTTACAACACACAACATAGTATTCGTTTCTTTCGAGCGTATAAGCATATCTTGGCACATGAATCTTTAAAGCCACATACCATTTAAAATATCAAATTTTACAACTCGCAAACTACAAATATTTCACGTTCATGCCAATTGTAACAATATATGGATAAGACGTGTGATCGGTACGATTATAATGTGTGGTCAGAATGCTAAGAACATCTCTCAGATATTTTTCCCCAGGAATACAAAAAGCACATGCGTAGAAATGGAATACTTTTTTTTTTATCTACAAAGTACTCGGTCGCGGATTTTGTAAATGCATCGTACGTATGACTACATCGCTGCAAATTGCATTGATGAGTTATTAATGGTATACTTATGCAAAAATGGAACTTCCTAAAAATATCTCGTAGGAACTGCCTCGTCGCTGAAAAATGGTTTTTGCTTTATATAAAACATTCGTATATAAATGTCGCAAACTAGTGTAAACCATTAAATAATTATTTAATAGAAATAACACACACTCAGTCCCTCTTTTTACATTATAATTACTGTCCATATAATATTCCTAGGTAGGAAATAGACTATGAAATTACGAACTTGCGTTAAAAACAACATCGATTATGTCCTACAGGAAATTATATTCTCGCGCAGTATTCGAGGAGAGAAAATATTGTTTAAATATATATATTTATAAATATATACATACATATCTCTAAAATACGTTTGTATGTATGTATACATTATCAATTGATTATACGAGATGACGCAGATAAAATCAAGAAATTTTTCAAACGTGAGTGTGCGACGCTAGAATAAATATGAACGGTGTTAATAAATTTGGAATCCACCTCATTTAATAACGTTGATGCTAATGTTAAATTTGATCAATGGCATTTCCCATCTTCACTGTAAAGCATAACTTTTTGCATCACCTCGTAAGCGCCGTTATTGTACAACAAATAGTAACGATAATCCTAAATCCTTTGGAGTTGCGATTTTATTATAGCTGTGACTTTTAAATTCTCTAGTGATAAACTTGCTATTCTACTATTACAACTAATGAATACTGTCCTATCTATAAGTACGCTTAGATAAAATGTCTGTATATTTAAATGTTAAAAGAGCTAAAAAGCACAAATACTAGATCTCCCGTTGTTAAAGTAGTGTAGATGTGTACACACGGGTAACTTGGTAGTATATCGTCTATTTATGTACACGCTAAGCAATGATCCGAAGTAGACCTGCAATCAGTACATTTAATAATCGTCTCGTTTATGCGAAGAAACGTTTCACGATCATTTACCTCAGTTCAAGGCACCTCGTTGTTAGCTGTCGTTTATCGAAGTCTCACTTGTGGCTTTACTGTTGGTCGTAAACACCGTCTGAGTAACGCCCGTTGTAACCGACTGACTCGGATGTATGACGGGACTAACAGTCTGAACCAAATTACAAGTGACTGGCACCATAGGCAGCAAATTAACAGAATTATTCATAGGCCCTGCGCTACACGTCAGTGAAGGTCTTTTTCTCTCTAAACTGTTAGTAGCCATTTGTCTCCTCGTTGTTGAGTTACGTTCAAGGCTATTAGTTACTATATTATGTCTTCTTTCTAAGCTGCTGCCAGAGTTGAGATCGGACTGACTTCCCTGAACAATAGATATTTCAATCGCATTTATTCCATTATTATTCTTTTGAGAAATGATCTCAATGAGAGATATTTAACTTACCGGTGAAGAGCGATCCACAGACTGACCCATTCTATGTAACAAATCACCACTTTGGCTTTGTCTGAAGGTCGTTCCTTGTCGTTCAGTCGACTGACTTCTTCTCAGCAATTGCTCGCCCGACTGACTTGAACGAATGCGACTCTCAGGTGTAGATTCCCGGGTTCTGTTAACAGCATCGCTCTGCCTTTGGCAAATCTGACTGTCCACGTATGGATAACGAATACGGATGGAATCGATTACATCTAAGAGATTCTTCGCGTCCATGGCTAGGATATGAGCTGCAGAAAGCATTCCCCTAAAAGGAGAATCGTATATTAATCAATTACGCTCAATGTGTGTCTCTTGTGTTAATCTGCTAATAATGACAAAAAATAATTACTTTCGATATTCAGCGTCCAACGTAGTGGCACTGTAGTTTTGCGCCAATTTCATAGCAGTCACCAGCTCTGCCATGTCTTTACTTAATACTTTATGCGCCATTTCTACTTCGCGATGCGCGGATATCGGCAGTATTTCCACCAGAACGTCCACAGAGGACAGCAATGCTCTTAATTCGATTCCTACTCTACGTACTAGTTCTAAATACTGATCAGCCTTGCTCTGTTGAACACCTGCAATTCACATTTTTCTTTTCTCGACAATGTACAACAACGTGTGATTTTTCAACAGTACCAATTAGCTATTATATATATATATTTCGTTTCGATTAGCGTATTCTTACCTTGCGACAACGACATAACTGCACGTACGACGCTTGTTGTGCAGTCGTATACTTTATCGTTAGTTCTGTCTAAATCTGCAGTAGGCGTAGGTTCCATTTTCTGCGAAAAAAAAAATTATGAATATCTACGTCGCCCAACGGGGTGATTTGTATTCATAACATCATTGCGTGCGGCTCACCTTTACTACAATTACTTTGTCGGAACTCTTATCCGAGCCAAGAGAGCCAGTATTGGCAGAATGCGGTTCATGGCTCGGTGATTGAGTAACTGACCGTGGAACCGGGGGACTAGCACTTTCATCACCACTCGTAGCAATCGATAAGCGTTTCTGTTATAACGAGGAAAATGAAGGATTGAAATCATTTCGAATTGTGACACAGTGAGGTCTTTTTAACATACCTCTTCTCTCGCGAGCCAGCGGCTATCCTCTTCAGACTGTCGTTGTTGCTCCAACAACCGTTGCTCCAGCAGCTTCTGTTCGTCGTCAATGCCACTATTGAAATTGTCAGTCAGACTGTCGAACAATTGCGAATGTACGTTTCTCTAAAACAGCGAAAATGATGTTACGTTAGAAACGTGACCAGTTTTCATCCAACATTTCTAAGTTCTGTTCTAATGTTACAAAGTCTCTGGGATGAGATCTCGTGACAATTT